GCCCGGGTGTCCTGTCCCCTGTGCGGCGGCGGGCACCGCCACCACCACGCCCGCCACCCGCAGTGGGCCGAAGACTATGAGAAGGAGAGGGAGGAGAGCGCTCGGCTGAGGAGGCTGAAGGAGAGAGAGCGGATCGGGGAGATGGGGGCGCCTGAGGTCTGGGGGCTGTCCCCGAAGTCCCCCGAGCCGGATTCCGATGAGCATGCGCCAGCTGAGGGTGAAGAGGTAAAGAGCCTGAAGAGTAGCAGTCCGGATTCCAGCTCTGAAAAAAGGAGCACAAAACCCAGCCGTTCAAAAAACAAGAAAAAAAGAAAGAAAAAGGTGCTCAGCAGAAAACGTAGGCATTCTTGTGCCAAAAATTCAGATTGTGAGGCTAATTCTGGCTCTGATGATGATAAAAAGAGAGTCAAAAAAGCCAAGAAAGACAAGAAAAAGAAACAGAGGAGAAAAACAACCAAGAAAAAGAAGAACAGGAAGATTAAAAAGGAGTCCAGTGACTCCAGCAGTAAAGATTCAGAAGAGGAGTTGCCAGAAGATATCTGGATTAAGCGGTCAAAGATTGCAGATACCATGGGTTTAATCGGTCCAGAAGCCCCTATAATACACACCTCGCAAGATGAGAAGCCTTTGAACTACGGCCATGCACTGCTTCCAGGTGAAGGTGCAGCAATGGCTGAGTATGTAAAAGCTGGAAAGCGCATACCACGGAGAGGTGAAATTGGATTGACAAGTGAAGAGATTGCTTCATTCGAATGCTCAGGTTATGTCATGAGTGGTAGCAGGCATCGCAGAATGGAGGCGGTAAGACTGAGGAAAGAAAACCAGATCTACAGTGCTGATGAGAAGAGAGCCCTTGCATCTTTTAACCAAGAAGAGAGACGAAAGAGAGAGAATAAGATTCTAGCCAGTTTCCGAGAGATGGTGTACAGAAAGACAAAAGGGAAAGATGACAAATAGGACTTGTTTGTTATGCAGCAGGACTTTTAACAGCAGAAGTTTTGTGGGTTAAAACAGTATTTAAAAGGTTTGCAGTGCTACTGCCACTGTACTACTGTTAGTCACTCAGGAAAAACTTTTTGAGATAGTTTTAGCAATTTATTTTTTGTTTCTTTTTTTTAAACTTAAAGTAATATGTGCACATGGTTAACAACTACTCAAACTTTACAAGAGGAGCGTTAATAAAAAGTAAATACTTCACCTCATTCCTTGATTTCTCTCCTCAAAGAAATCTTTTTGATGTCTTCTATATTCATAAATTCTGTGTATATATAATGGTATATGTCACAGGATAAAGATGAAAGCTATTAACTGAAGTTTTTAAATCTCCCTGTACTCTGACCTTGCACTCTAGAAAAGCTTCATTACCTCATGGAGCCATTTATTTGTACCAGAGAGGACCAAAAGGAACCCAGAAAGGACAGGATTCAATTGCATATGTACCTCTAGAAGTTAACAGATTGCGTTAAAAAAAGAGATTCACTGGCTGGTACAACTGAAATGTCTAGGAAAAGGACAGGTTTCCCACATTACTTTAATAGGACTATGGCTTCTTTATCTTTTCTACAGTCATTTTCCTCTGGCTGTTTTACCTTATATAAGAAAAAGGCTGCCGGAAACCAGCAGTTAGCGTAATGGCTATGTCGCTGGACTCCCACGTAGTCAACCGCAGTTCACGTCCTGGACCCGGTTAAAACTCACGCCGGGTGCATGTGCTTCCGTGTCCAAGATCCCGAGAGGAGAATGGAGGAGAAGGGATTGCGGCGTGACCATCCCCCCTGGGGGGTGATTTCTCGCTTTCTGTCTCTATGTCTCTGTCTGTCTGTCTGGCAAGCACACGCGTCCTATAGTGAAAACCTCTCCAAAAAAAAAAAAAGGCTGCCAAAGTTCCCAAGTTTCATTACATTTTTCCTGGTCTGTGAAGAGAAAAAGAATTTGTCTAACTTGGCATTCCAACAAGAACCCAGAGTCACCATAACTGGATTGGCAGATCACATGCCCTCTTAAAACAAGTGTTCTTGCCAGAGAAATAGAATGGCTTACTCTTGAAACTGTAGATATGGTCAACTAATGGGCCACATGGGGAAAGAG